GTGGTTCCAAAGAGCTCCTAGGCATCCTGTCACTTTTCTGCCCAAATGCACATGAGATTGCACCTGGGGATTGACCAGACTACACTGCAACTGGATTTGGTTCATTTGACTAATGGAGCTTGGGAGAGCGTAGTAGTTTCCTGCCTGGTTTCTGAGTCTCTTTTGGTCAAGACTAACAACTGCTTCACATTCAGTCTGATTGAAGATCAGAAAGTGAACTGAGTATTCTCTGGAATAAATTCCACAGGGCCTCCCTCCACAGTCAGTAAAACTCTTCAGGACTAAGAGGTTCTGGATTCAGGGGGAGACTTTTTAGGCAAGCATAAGGTTCAAAGGAACTCTTTTATCCCCCCTTCTCTACTAATTGGTGTGCAAGAAATGAAAGCTTGTTGGAAAATGAATCCTCTTTTGTTTTTCTATCAAATGAATCCTCTCTTGGTTCTGGTCATCATTTTCAGGTGGCCCCTATGCTGCCTGAAATTAAACTTGCCTCTCTCCCTTATAGTGGCACATAGGGGTGGGTATGTGTTCGGAGAAGGGGAGATGGAGGAGTTTATTGCCTTGGTAGAAGAACATATTAGAAAGAGCGGCTGCACTCGGGTCCAGAACTAGCACAGCCAATTTGAAAAACCCAAGTGCCCAGAGCTTACAAAACTGACTGCTATGTTGGAGGGAAAGTCTTGTAAGAATGTGTGCTTTTATTTATAAGGTAGATTCTGAGTATTACACCTACTTGTTGATTCCTTCCCCCTTGCTCTGGTTAAAGCTCTGGCTGTCAAGATCCTGCAAACTCACTGAATTTCTGTTTTTACCCTGCTTTCTGGTCAACCAGAACCAAAGAATGAGCCCAAGGAACTCTGTCCTAATTCTCTGTTGCCTGATGTATTGAAAAAATGAGAAGATAAAAAGGTGAAGGGAGGGGGCTAAAGATACCTACATTGGGTTCCTTCCTGCTTCAAACCATGCACGTTAGTTGAAGACCCTAGGCCAAGAACAGTGAGCACGTGACCCGTGCTCCACTCCCCTATCCTGTACCTGTGGCAGACATTCAGTCTTCATTCCTCCCCTCTGAGGAGGCTCAGGGATGAGACTTAACACAGACCTCAGGCAATTATTGCCAAATGATGAGCATTTATTTCACACAAGGTGAAAATCACTGCCAAACCCATGGTAGGCAGTGAGGTCCCCCGAGTCATAACTGCACCTAACAGGAATAGTGCCATGGCATAACTAAGTACTTGGTGGAACTATGTGGCAGAGCAACAGTGAGTCCGAACCGTGCTCCATCCCACACCAATGACCTCTGCCAACAGTAACCTTGAAGAATGTGCTATGAAAGGGCATCTTTGAAGTCCTATGACTTAAAACTTTTAAATTTGTCCAAACATTTATGAATCCACTTATAGACCCTCTACATCCATTTCTTGGAAAAACAAATTGCTCCTGTTTGATAACTGCTGGGTGAAGAAAAATTCCAGGAAGCTTTTTGCAGGGGCCAGAGGAGGAAGGAGGTAAGCATCAGAGGAACTTTCAACATACCAGGCCAGATGCCCAGTCCAGTTGCCAGGCAGTAATGAAAATACAAGCAGTGGTGGTTTATGGAGAGTTTAGCAGGCATTAGACATTGTGCAAAGTATACTGTATAAGTTATATCCTTGAATCCTCAAAACCTTATGAGGTAAGAAATGTCATTATATACATCTTTGAATATATAAAGAAACTGAGGCTCAGGGATGTCAAGTGACTTGACCATTGTTATCAGTTTTAGGGTTGGAGCCAGAATATGAACTTGGGCAGTCGGATGCTAGGGCCTATGCTCCTAACCACTGTATTCCATGATACTCCCAAATGAAGGCATTTAAAATACTGAGACTTTGGGGGACATAGATCTGACATCACTTTAGTAACATGAGGAAGGATGTAGGGACTTATTAGGAATATTTGAGGTAGAGAAACCTGGATCTACTCACCCATCACTCCACCTATTCTGCCTCTTCTCTGATCCTAGGACAAGCTGTTTACAGCCGCTCCAGCAGAGCAACTAAAAGCACAGGCCTCATTTGATGTATTCTATGTCTCAAGTGCTACTTTGACCTTCCTTAGCTGTGTGACCTTGGACAAGGTACTTCTCCAAATCTCAATTTACTCACCTACCTCTTATGAGGATAGTACCTACCCACCCCTTAAATTAAATAATTCATTAAAGCTCCGAGTGTGGAATATTTCTAGTGCTCATAAGTTCTGCCTGCCGTCTCCCCTCTCACCTGGCCCTGTTCTTAAGTGGTGGATTCTTTAAGTCCTGTTTATCCATCAGTATAACTGGCTCCTCCTGAGCCCAACCTAAAAAGCTGCCCATAAATAGCACTGGAAGCATTGAGTCTCATTGATAGAGTCACTTTTATTGGGAGCTATAGTTTTAGAAACAAACCACAAAAATATTATTCCACTGGATTTTACAGTGAATAGCCCACAATGTGGGTGGCCCCCTAACCTCCAAACTGATTAATGACCTTCTGTATCCACTTCTTCAGGCGGAACACATGTGTGTAGAAGCCATATTTCCCATCCCGGTCACAGCCTTCACCCCATGAGACGATGCCCATTTGATACCAGCGGTTGTTAGAGGGATTCTGAGGAAGAAAGATGAGGTTTCCAACACAGTCAAGTCCAAGGTAGCATCATTATCACCCTGCCAGGCAACTCTTTCTGAGAACTGGAGTCCCTCCTCACCCAACACTCCCCATTCCCACAAGATCTATACACCAATCCCTGGCCTTTAGAGAAGCATACCTTCATGACAAAGGGTCCCCCACTGTCGCCTTCACAAGCATCTCCTCGTTTCCCCTCATTGGGCTTGTAACCTTGAAAGAGAACAGCAGTGCTCAGGAGCATAGCACATACTCCATTCAGTCCTTTTGAGAAATATATCTGATGATTGTCCGCTTGACCCCTTCCAGTCATCTTTGGCCTCTTTTTATTTCCCCACCCCACACATCTAATCCTTTGTTGGAAAATCCTTTAGTGTGTCTTGTTGGCTGTACTTTCAACATATATCTCAAATCCAACCACTTCTTACCACTTCTACCCCTGGCCAAGTCACATACACCCCTCCCCTGAACCACTGGTTTCCCTAATTCTACTTTGCCCATCTATAATCCATTCTCCACCCAACAGGCAGATGACTTTTTTCAAAAGTAAGTTAAATTTGGGCCGGCCCAGTGGCGCACTCGGTAGAGGGCGGCGGCGCTCCCGCTGAGGGTTCGGATCCCATATAGAGACCAGTCCGCTCACTGGTTGAGAACGGTGCGGGCGCAACACCGAGGGTTGCGATCCCATTGCCGGTCGCCGTACGGGTGCAACACCGAGGGTTGCGATCCCGTTACCGGTCATGAAAAAAGACAAAAAGGAAAAAAAAAAAAAAGTAAGTTAAATTTAGGTAGCTGAGGATAATGGCAGTTGCCTTTATCCAAATCTCCCCACACATCCTCCACAAGCAATACAGAACATCATCAATGATAAAACCACACATGACAAACACACCTTCAGCATAACTAGATACTACTGAGAACAACCGAACTTCAAATTAATTTAGTATATTTAATTGTATATCTAATACTAAAACTTATGTGGGGATGACGGTGGAAAAATATTACCTACTAGATAAAAGAAGCAGGTGCAATCAAATTAGGAATCTTGTAAAGAACCCCAAATCTACAAAATTGACTAGATAAAAACTAAATAGATCTACATAAAAATACTATAGGAAAACAGAAAAGAATAAAAAGGCCCTCAAGTAATAAAAATCTCCTTCAAAACACAAACACAGGGCCGGCCCGGTGGCGCACTAGGTAGAGTGCGGCGCTTGGGAGCGTGGCGGCGCTCCTGCCGAGGGTTTGGATCCCATATAGAGACTGGTCCGCTCACTGGTTGAGCGCAGTGCAGGCATGACACCGAGGGTTGCGATCCCGTTGCTGGTCGCAGTACGGGCACGACACCAAGTGTTGCGATCCCGTTGCTGGTTGCAGTACGAGTGCGACACCAAGGGTTGCGATCCCGTTACTGGTCACAAAAAAAGGAAGAAAAAAAAAAAACCACAAACACAAAACAGAAGAAAACTGTAACAAAGTTGTGGGTATGAAAAAACATCTTGAATCAGAAATTCAAAAAGGAAATGGACAAAATGTGAAGAAATGAAAAGCAGAAATGGAAGTCAGACCAAAGAATAAATTTGAGTCCCTGAAGAAGGAAAATAAAACAATGGAACAGAATTAAGAATATAATACAAGAAAATGTCACAGAAATAAAAGATGACTTGAATGTACATATTGAAAGGATCCACTGGGTATGTTGCAAAATTAATCTGAAATAATCAACTCAGAAACATCCTGATAAAACTGTGAGGCAGGGCAGGCCATTTAGCTCACTTGGTTGGAGCGTAGTGCTGGTAACACCAATATCAAGGGTTGAAGATCCCCTTACCAGCCAAT